TAATCAACTAAGAATATACTTCCTTCGTTCTTTTTTTAATTGCAACATTCACTTTTTCACGTTTGCCAACGCACAACTTTGACCGTCATTATATTAATTATGTATTAGTAAAATATAATTAAAAATCAGATTATGAAACTTTTTAATGAGACGGATTCAACAATATTTTTCAAAAAAAATAATTCAAATACATTAATAAATAAAATGTAGTCTAATGAATAGTGTGTAATTTGTAACGTTGCAACTAATGCGATACGGAGGATAGTACAAGTTACAAAAAACATTACATAATGATTTAATATTATATTGTAAAGTATGGAAAGTTGGAAACATGCGCGGGCAAACACACACACATTGTGTGCACGTACAAGTGCACAACTTAAGTGAAAAGGGTACTTCCTATACGAATGTGCACATATTACTCATTTCGGTGCATGATTAAGTTGTACTCCGTAACTTGTAAGTAGCGGTTCGGAAATTGTTGTATGCATCATTCAAAAATTATTTGTAAAAAATGCCACCATTTTCATGATTCATACGTAGTATGTAACTGTACACAGCTCAGCTCTAAGTTTTTCTTTTTGAAGGCTGCATATAGCTCTAAGCCTTTAAGTTACTACTCCCTCCGTATCACATATATCTTCCCACTTCAAAAGTGGGTGAGATTAAGAATAGTAAAAGGGGATATGAATTATTGAGGGTATGATGGGAAGATAGTGAAATAATGTGATGGAATGAAGGATAAATCCAAAAAAAGTGAGTGTAATAGTGTATTGTTTTTTAAATTATTGAGGGTATAATGGGAAGATTTAGAAATGAGAAGATATAAATGTTACATCCAAAAAAGGAAAGTGAGAAGATATGAATGTTACGGAGGGAGTAGTAGATAAACAGATAATTATTGAAACTATCGATCAAAATTAATTCTCACTTCTTACACTAATAAAGAGCTCATTTGACAAACTCTTTTTTTAGCTTATATCAACCAACATTTTCACGAAAGATGTAATTTTCGATTTCGCGCGTTAAATTTTATGCATGGTAGAATTGGCTGAAATTACCGTAAATGACGATTTTAGCTATTTTTCATAAAAAAAAAACTTTATTTTATTAATGTAAAAGTTTTTTTAAATATAATCACTTTCATAATTCAATAGATTCAACATGTTCAGCCACTTCGGTCAATACTTCATCAATGTCACCGGATTCATCTGATTTAACAAATATCAATTTACCAAACGAGCTCTAAAACTTTTTTGTTTGATCTGATGAAATACGAATCCTGATCACCGTTTTTAATCCAAATTGATGCACTTTATAATATGCATGTTAGCATTTTTTGCGTTGGGAGAGCATTTAGCAATTAAATTGTATACTACTCCGTTCTCTTTTAATTGCAACATTTAACTTTTTGCACTTTTCACATATTCTACTTTGACTATATTTTATTTATTAATGTATTAAAAATTAAAATATTAAATTATATTTTTAAATTCTTCTCACTTTGAATTTTCAAAATTTAAAGTTTTTATTTATTTACTAATCAATAATGAAAGATATTAATAGTCTAAGTTGTGCGTTGGCAATCGTGGAAAGAAAAATTAAAAAGGAACGGAAGAATAACTAGAATTTCGTATATAGTACGTAGTACTCCGTACATGATAAGCATACCTAGAATTCCAGTGTAATAAGAAAGAGGAACATCAGTGGTATGTTGGATCTTGAAGAGCGTCTCCACATTCATTACACTGTACTCCTCCCATCCAGTGAATCCCCACACCAAATCTCCCTTCTTCAGGTCTGGGTTACCGCCCGATTCTATTATTCTTGCCACTCCCAAACCCTCAATAGCCTGCACAATCGACTAAAACTTATCATTTCTATTTAAGTAAATAATTAGCACTATTAATTAAATGACAAATAATAATTAAATGTTTAATTATTATAATACACTTGTAACCAGTGGCGTATCTAGGAAATTTGACGAGTGAGGGCAAACTTGACTACAATTTACTCTCATATTTCACAAATAACAAATCACATTATTAATATTGTTTGATTAAATTTAGTTTATAATATCTACGTAAAAGTATGAATAAAAAGAAGATTAATTTATATTACTGGTGTGTAAATATGTAATTGCAGATAAAATGTAATAAAATTACCTAAATATAAGTTAAACATAACAAAATTTAGTGAATTTTTTAGCCTTTTATTCTTTTAATATTAAAGAAAACACTTTTAATCCTATTTTAGAATTTTTTTTTACATTTAACTCTTATTTTGAGCAATTTCTTGTAAAAATATGGACATATATATAGGGGTGGGGTTGGGGTTGAGTGGGGCAGCTGCCCCCGCTGCCCCTATAGTGGATACGCCACTGCTTGTAACTTAATACCATAGTTGTCATCAACAGCCTCATTATGTTGTATACCAATCAAAATAACTTGTCAAAATATATTCGACTATCTAATTACTATGTGTCATTTTCTTATGAGAAGTTAGATCGAGATTGAGGTAGTACTAGCTTTCCATCAAATCTGCCATTATTTCATATTTATTAATAAGATAAAGAAATTAACATTATTCAGTCTTATTAAAAGAATGAAAGAATAGAAACTTAAATATAAAAGGGTGAGCAGTGAGCACATTCATCTTCTTTCAGGAGAAAATAATGGTAATTCTAGAAAATAAAGTTGTACGTTTTTTCGAAAAGATTAGAGGGGCTTACGGAGCCCAGTTTGAAGCAACTATTGACACCGAGGTAGCAGCCCGCATCGGGGGGCAGCTTCGTCATTCGAGTTCGCATGTACGGATCGCATGAAAGGAAGAGATTTTTGACGAATACGCCGCCGCCATTGGTGGCCGCCGCCGGGAGCTCGAGCTTCACGGTGGTCGTCCGGATTTCCATGTCAGATACCTTTGGAATCCCGCTCACGTAGTTTTTCAATATAACCTGCTTGTTGCTCACTTCCGCCATTAATTATCCCAATATAATCTCCTTTCCGGTCTTAATTTGTTTCTGGATATGATCTTACTTGGTTTATTAAAACACTAGTACTACTCCCTAGCTTCATAATGACTCCTAATTAGCATTTAGAACTATATATATAGGGTGAGAGAATAAATCACTGCCTACGATCAAATGCTAAAAGTAAACGCACATGTTTACTTATATATATTCGACTACATACGACAGTACTACGTAATACCTGATGTCATTAATTATTTCCCATGTCTTTGTTTCACTTGTACATATGTCATTATTTCTGAAAATAATTTTCTGACTTTGATTTTTGTGATCTATAGCAAATCAATTATTGATGTTTGGGCTGATTCGGTTTTGATCGGTTTATCGCATTGATCAATTTTGATTTTTTTTTTTATCCTTTTAGGAACTGTAACTCGTGTAACCATATACGGAGTAATTGTTTATCCTCATTTACATAGGCTTCTACAATTTGATAGAACAATGTGTATCCAATACTATGTTGTAACATGAAATCATTACGAGTATTATACTACGTATACACTTCTAAAATTATTTAATACGATTCATCTGAGAAAATTATGTAATGTGCAACACACGAATGAAATGACTAATTACTTCTAATTGGCACTACTAGTCAATCAATTGACTCGTGCATTGCAAGAATGACTTTTTTCCACTTTTAGTCATCCGACTATTATGTCATTGACATTTTTGGTATTCGACTTTGATTTTTTCCATTTTTAATCCTTAACTATTGCGCTAAAGACACTTTTGGTACCCGTCTTTGAAAACTTCCATATTTAATCCTTCAACATTCATTAAAGTGACACTTTTGGTCCTTCAACTATTATAATAGTGACATTTTTAGTCCTCCACTTATTGTGTGAAAATCACAATGAGAGGACCAAATTTGACATTACTCAGAGACTAAATGTGGGAAACCTTAAACTCGGGGATTAAAAGTGTTTCCAGTACAATAGTCGAGGACTAAAAATGGAAAAGTTAGAAGTCGAGTACCAAAAATGTCATTGACATAATAGTCGGGGGACCAAAAATGGCAAAGACTCTTGCAAGAATGATGAATTAAATTAATTTTTTGCGAAAGTAATTCGCCTCATTATGTATGCCTATCACGATAATTAGTAATGTGTATATGCCAACTTATCTAAATAAATAAATATATAAAATCTTATAAAGGCCAATGAGAGTTAGGGCATTTTAGCTATGAAAAATGTGTTGGTGAAACTTTATAGCAATAAGTGATTGTACACTACACTTTACACTTTATACTCTTCTTTCATTTTCCCATGTTTCTTAATTGCTCCGTTAAGTTAAGAAGTCTGCTCCGTTAACTTAAGAAGTCGAGACCTTCCTTCCCCTAGCTCTATCACCGTTAACATTTGCATAAATCTCCATTTAATATTAAATTAATTATCACTTGATTTTACATTCTAATTTATGCATACACTACAATAAAATTGATTTATAGAGGCATACTAAATTTGCCTCTAAAAATAGTAAATTAGCCTCTAATGCCTTTTGGGGGCAATTTTGTGGTTGCCAACAAATACTCCGTCGCAAAATGATGGTTGCCTCTAAAAACACTCTTTAGAGGCAAAAACGTATACGCCTCTAAAAAGATATATTTAGAAGCAACCATACACATTAGCCTCAAAATGTCATTAGAGGCACTATTTATGTTGATTCAAAATGTTATTAGAGACAACCATATCCAATGACTCCAGATATTATTAGAGGCACTCTGAATATTGTCTTGAATGCTTTTTAGAGGCAACGATATATTGAAGCATATCAAAACAATAGACGTTTAGTGACGAACATTTCATTTGTCATATATTCTCTTAAACAATGTCAAAATAGTGTAAAGTTTAATACTCCGTATATAAAATTGCAAGAGCAATGCAAAATATCAAAATAATATTTCATTTATTAACAAAATGTACAAATTACATAAATAATATGTTCAATCAGATCTAGGACGTATGTATCCATGTATAAACTCTGAGACAAAACTCACTAGAGTTACTAAAACATTATGACGTAATGAGATAAATCAAACTGCTTCACAAAACATATTAATTTAGAAAAATCTTTCTTCTTCCTCATTGTCCTCATCATCACCTTGCTCTTTATTTTGCTTCTTGCCAACCTAGCATGTTGTAAATTATATATCAGTATTTTTAACAACTTCAAAAGTATTAAGAAATAAATAATATACAAATTAATTAATAGTATGAACATCATGCAATTTAAATTTCTTCATTTTAGGGAAATGCGGGAATAAGTAATTGTTGACAGAAAAAATTGACTTTTGTACTATTGAAAACGTTTTGAGTGGCTCTTGTAACATAGTACCAGTATCCCCACACATCAAGATTTCTCCATCTGCAAGAGATTATTTGTCAAACTATAATTAGCAAGGGGATCATTAGCAAGTTTTTTAATAGGAAGTTAGAATGATAGTAAGTAGTTTCAACCTATGGTAGGTATGTATGAGCACGATTAAAACAAGACTTCAAAGGAAGAATATCTATAACAAATACAGAAATCCAGCTATAATTAGTGAAGATGATCTATGGCATATATATGAACATGCAAATGACATATCGATTTCCCGACAAATGGGTAAAACAAAACATCTGTCTTCTTGGAAGAAGACCGCAAAGCCTCTTATCATAATATTAAAGAACAGCTTGAACACTATATCTGACCCAGTATCATATCTGCTGAAACAAACACTGCTTTCTCCTACCGGAGGACAGAAAATAGATAAAACAGTGGATGGGAGGATCTTCCATGCAAATAACATTAAAAAGTGTACTTATAAGTGGCATACTTTACCCATCTATGCATAACAAGATGAAAAAGCAATATCTTCTACTCCTGCCAAACTCTCTATTCAATTCTCTTGCTTTCTTATTCGTAAACTCAATACAAATCTAATAAAGAAAACACGTAGTTTAATTGACTCAAAATTTATTTAATGAAAATAGTTTTTTGCTCATGTTTTCTTGATAATTTTATTTGTTTATGTTGTGTGTACTTTATATGGAGTATCCAAATTCATCTAATGTTGCACCGAGCTTACATCTATAAGCCAAAATTTTATGGAATATCCACTCAAGTAATCGACATGCCCTTATTCTCTGAAAATATATGCATTTCAATGATATCGAGGAAAGCTTACTTTTAACCTTTGAATACAGGGGCTGAACCCAAATTCTGCGTTATTCTTCATGTCAGGGAGTTAATGATGGAGTAGTTGTAACTAATATGAAATCACAAGTATAAAAAACCAAATACAATAACATCATAAACCATTAATAAAACACACTAGTAGAAAGAAAGAAGAGAAGATAAAATTCTGGGTATCCTCGTCCCTTTTTTCATATTCATAACCAAGAATTCGTATAAGGATATACGAGTATATCAAAGACCTAAAATGGAATCAAATGCCAACTAGAATCAGTAAATGAAATAGGCAGAGTGTGAGCTTACCTAGCAGCAGGAGTAGAAATAGGCGGAGTAGAGGGAGACTTGGACGGAACAAAAGGATCAGCAGAGGAGCTTATGGCTTCTTCCTTCCCATTCTCATCCTCTTTAGCTTCACCAGTATGGGCTCTGCCAGCTCCATTTAGTGGAAGGATATCTATAACATTACAATCAATAGTAGTAAATTAAAAAATGGTAACCTCAAACCCATCTGCTGGTGGAGATTTTGGAGTTCATAAATTGGGTGGTACTACACTCGTACATGAAGATTCCAGTGAGCATTCTCCACGGCTGACTAAAGCCATGTCCCCTGGCGATGATGGGATTTTCAGAGCCGCTAATTCAGAGTCCAAAAATGGAGTTCAGAAGCACAAGCATGGTCATGAGCGTGAAACCTGAGATGAGGCCGTCTTAAAGTGTCGATGATGGTGTGATGCCTTCTTTGGTCGCTCAACTTGAATCAGAGATAAGGTCAATTGTTCCCGTCGTTGAACCTTTGGTTCTCATCAGTTGTTTCTCCTTAGTAGGCCTGCTGAGTTTTAAACACGGACGAAATTCCAATTTTCTCTTAAGATTGCCGCCGACACCCTCTTCCAATCAAGATCCCTCCGGCTTCACATTTCAGAAGCTCTGCACGAATCCTCATAGTCACGCTGGTCGAATCTGCCTTGATCTCTTATTGGCCGCCATCAAGAGTGTCGCCCACAGATCGGCGATTCCTCTTGTTGTCGAGTAAAACCGGAGCGCCTCTCATCCTTTCGTCGCCGAGTAAAACCGGCGCGCCTCTCATCCTCTTGTCGTTGAGGTCCGCCAGAGGAAAACCCTCTATGGCTTGTAGATCGGTGATTCCTCTTATTTTCTCTGAACACTGCCAGGAGTGATAGATCTAGGGTTAAAAAATTAGCAGCAATGTGAAAACTAAGGTAGCTAAAGGTTGCTGGACTAAATTGAAAGGTCCGTAGACGGTAGGTTAAGTTAAAACTTAAAAATTCTGGAAATATTTACAGCTAGTTTGGTAAACATATTTTTCGGTTTATAAGATTTATTGGTCATTTTTTGTTACATACGTAATTTTTTATTTCGTGCGCTAAATTGTATAAGAAGAAAAAGAAAAGGTAAGATTGATGTTTTTTTCTGACTGTATTGGCTGAGTTATTATAGTTAGCTATTTTTACATGTATTTCTCTATTTTATTAATAGAATATATTTTCAATTTATTTTTTTAGAAATCAGCAAAATCCGTTAATTCAGCCAGAATTTCATAGATTTCAGCTGAATCAATCGATTCAGCCGATTTTGATATTACCAAATGGGCTCTTTGTCATGTGAAGTTTCTAGAAAATATTGATTATTAGATGAGAAAAATGTTAAGTTAGTAAAACCAGTCAAACTTTAAAATTCAAGATACTTTAGGGACAATAACAATTGAAGTATCTTTAATTAATTGCACCTTTTAGAATATTAAGATAATTATTTTCCCAAAATTAAGGACTCTCTAATTGGTATGACGATTTGAAGTAGATATTTTAGGGGTAATTATAATTTTGCAACAAACTTTTAGAGGCATCCCTAAAAAGGTTGCTTCAAAAAAAATTAGGGGCGAATATGCTTTTGCAACAAGTTTTTAGAGGCAATCCAAAAAAATTGCTCCGAATAATACCTTTTAGAGTCAAGAAAATTATGGTTGCCTCAAATAATACCTTTTAGAGGCAACCAAGATTGTTTGATGCTAAAAACATGTTTTAGGGGCAAATTGTTTTAAAGTGTTGCTTCTATATGTGATTTTTGTTGTAGTGATACTTCCGATCGAATCGTCATTACAAATATATCATACGGAGTATATGGGTAGATGCACGTTTGTCTATCCTCCGTGTAAGGGCACTATTTTTTTAAAAAAAATTATTTACTTATGTTTTTACTACAGAGCAATAATTTTAAGAACATGGATAATTTAATAGTATTGAATGACGAAATCATTATCATCATTTTTATACAGGTTGTGCATTCAATTCACTATAATCCTTATTTGATTATTGTATAATTGACAAATACAAAATTACATGTTTGATAAAAATATTGATGGATAAGGCTAACAAGCTGAAAAACAAGTTACCAAATGGACTCTTAATTAATTTTGAGGAAGATAGGTGACTTAATTAGGAAATCTACCTCATTTGCTACTACATTCTTTCCCGTAACATTCGTGTGTTTAGCGCAATAGTTAAGGATTATTGCACATTGTAATAAAATTTAATAAAATATGTCGATTCAATCAATTTCACATTGATTCAATAAAATTTAATAAAATGTGTCGACAATTTGATTTTATTCACAGTCGAATAAAATTTAAAAATTTTATTGCACATTGTAATAAAATTTAACAAAATATGTCGATTCAATCAATTTCATTCTTATCAAAAGGATTATTCAAGTCCTGAGCTACAAGGTTTGTGAGTAATATGTTCTAGAGGTAAAGTGAGAAGGAAATGAGTGTCAAAAGAAAAGAAAGGAGATGGACTCTTCTACAAATGTGCAGAAGAAGAGTATACTTCTTACTTTCTATCCTTCTCCACTACATTTTCTTAGGTCTATAAAAGGTGTATCTTTTTTTGCGAGGTATAAAAGTGTATCTTGAAATTACTCCGTATAATATTTTGTTAAAAAAATAACCGCTTCTCATCTTAGTATGCCCCGATTTTGTTCCTAAGCACAAGCACTTTTCCGATAACAACTATCTTGAATGAATCAATAATAATACATACTTTGAAAATGATTCTAATAATATCAACTATTTCAATAAACAACAAAAATAATATGAAACCACTTTTAGACTAGAAATTCAATCAATTAAGACATCAAAAACGTATATCAAACTATCAAATAAATGATAGTTGACAATATAATATGATCACTTATTTAATATTTTGACATTACTTTTTGATGAATTAAATGATTGAATTTTTAGTTAGGAGTGGTTCTATGTCACTTTTGTTATCTATTCAGATTCAGATAGTTGATATTATTAAAAGTAATTTTAAATTACGTATTATTTTTATTGTACCTCTCATTCGTATGTCGTATATTGATTTGTGTGTAATTTCCATTTGTATTTGTACGTTTTTAATTAGTTTTGTGATTCACTAGTTTGGAAATTACACACTTTTGGTGTAATGTTTTGTTTTATTTTAATTGTTGTAAATTGCTTAGAATAGGATTATTCTGAGCATAGGACAACTTGGAAGCACTCAAGGGATCAAGAAATGGATCCCAAAGACCAAAAGGTGTGCAAGGGAACAAGATCAAAAATTGATTTGGAAAAAAGTTCATATACCCGGTCGAGTATATGCAATACCCGATCGGGTATTGATCCGATTTCAATGTCAAAATCAAATCCGGGAAAACAAAGGATCGTGGGCAAATAATATTTCAAAATCCGGTCTCATACCCGATCGGGTAGACCGACACACCCGATCGGGTATGAATGATGTTTTTTCACATTCTAGGAAGCTGCTGAGTACCCGATCGGGTACCCTAGAAACCCGGTCGGGTACATGATCCTGCCACCTTCATTCCCCTATAAATACACCCCTTGTTCTTCACATTAAGACATCCCTTCTTCCATATACTTAAACTCAGTTTAGAATAGTTATTTCTTATATTTTTATAGCATGTTTAGTCTCGAAATGAGGAGCTAAACTTCCATTTCTTGGTTTTGCTCTTGAAGATTGTTGATTATTAAAGTTGTGAGTTATTTTCTTACTTTCTCCTCTTGATTATTAATTCTTCCCTTAATCTCATTCTATATTATTGTTGGAGGGTTGCTAAGTGCCGATTAGTTAACGTTCCAACATTAATTATTACTAGAAACGATCAACGAACCGATGGTTAATCTTTGATGGTTTCACAAGTAAGGAACTTCGGTTTATTAATGCACGATCATGGTTAGTAAACTTAAGAGGGATTAATTTTGTTGGTTAAACCGAAACCGTTGTGTTGAGGTTATCAATCTCAATTGATTTCATCAAGGAGTTAAAGAGATTAAATGCTACTATTATATCGGTATACGGCGTTGTTCTATATTTGATTAATAGTAAGGGTTATTAATGAACGGTCGTTGTTAATAACTACCCTCGATGAATTGGATATACTCCTCGATTGAGTATTCGAGAGGGGATAAGTTATAGATATAACAATGATCGACTAAAATATATCAACAAGTGGAAAGTAGCAAGACCAAGTTCCTTTTATTCTTGAATTTAACCACATAAGTCGTTCATTTTTGTGTTTAAATTAATTAAATCACTCAAACAAAACCCCCCCTTTTATTTACTAAGTTTCATAAAAAGAAAGTTATTCCTTTCCTTGTGGATACGAACTCTACTTCACCTATACTACGTATAATTGTTAGTATTGAAATTACTTTGAGTGCACACACGACAAAGTGCACGTCATATATTATCATGTGAAGGTATTATATTAGATCGAATGTGAGCCAACAATATTTAGATATGTACTAAATATTTATCACAATGTTAGTGATACTTTTTCTTTTGAAATTACAAAAATAGCGGCTAGCTCGTAGTGCATTTGCATTTTTTTATTTTATTTTTGGGCCTCCCCCACAAATGTTAAAAACTAAAAGTAA